CCTTTATCCTTGGCTACTTATTTTATCTCCCAGCACTTTCACTTGTCCTGCTACAACTCTGCCTTTGTGTTGTGGCTTGGACTGGGGTATTGATGCAGGGTTAAAATAACATGGCAGAAGGCCTCTGAGCCATCATAAACCTGCTGCAGCTCATCATGAAGGCTGTGTAAACAGTTACCCTGGCACCGCAGAGGAGCCGGGATGCAGAAGGTGGAGGGACTGCGAGATGTAGAAGAGGTTTCCTCTGCTCTTGACCAGCTCTGACTTTGAGAAACTAGTGAACTACCAAGTCGGGTGGCCAAGCCTTTGCTCAGAAACTATACAAATCTAATTTGAGAGGGAAAATGGGTACTTGTGTCTTGGCCGTTCTGTTTGTGTCTCCTTGCTTTCTTTTCTTGTGTTGTGATGTTTATGTACTTCTGTGTCTTTAAATCTTTCTTCTGTAACTCTTGCCTTGCATGAGGATGCCTTGTGCTTGTTTTTACTGGTGTGCTTCCACTGTAAATACCATACTGAAATCCAGTATTTGGAACCCAGAACTTTACTAGCAAATTTTGCTCTTCCTAGACTTAAGTCATTCAGCTATTGCTTTGGATGCTGCTGAAATAGAAACCACTGATGTTCTTCCATTTAAATTGTTGAGGTGTAGTTTATAGCAGCTTATTTTTAATGAGGCCTATTTCATCTGACTGTTAGTGCTTCAAAAAAATAAAATGAAGTAGTAAACTAGATAGCCAGTAGCAATTGAAATGTAGTTACACATTCTGAATTAAGACATGTTGAGGACTGGCTTGATGAACCACTCAAGTGGATGAGTAACTGAGGAGAGGATTAAACTGGTTTTGCAGGCTCTGTTTGACCTGACAGGGAAGTTACTTTCTAAATAGTATGTTCTGTAAGTATGATAGTGAAGGACTTAAACATTCTTCGTGTGGGCCCTCTTGCTGCCTGTCCTTCCCAGGACATGTATGTTGGGGAGGATGGAGACAACTGTCTGCTGTATGGGTCAAGTGTTTGCAGGGTGATGCCAGTTGTTAAGATGAACTTTCCCCTTTATGGTCAGTGAAAGGGGAATTCTAAATAAAAAATAAATCACTGAAGTTGCATGACTTCCTTTGGAGGCCTTGAAACACAGAGGTAGCAATCACTTAGCCCTAATTTGTGTGCCACTTCTACAGCAAGAGGCTGATCCTGTATCTGAATCTCACTTTAACTTGCTTTAGTTCTTACTTTGTAAAGTCTGTAGCATGTCTGTTTTCATTGCTCTGGTGCAGCTCCTATCAATGCTAAGGGAAAATACTTCAGCCTTTTGACAATCAGGTGAACAGTGCTTAAATGTCAGCTATGAGTTCTCTAGTGTAGAAGCTGGCTGTGGATGGACACATGGAAGAGAGCAAGTAATCTGTTAGCCCTGTCAGTCTCAAACTCTCTTCCTAGTTAGCACTTTGGTGTTATACTGCAGTAGTTTTCCTTCTATCCAGGTGGTGCCAATGTCTGTGAGTGTCTGAAGACCTTACTAAAAGAAAAATAGATGAAGTTCTAGTCATCTCTGACTCAAAATGTTGTTATGGTGAAAATGAGGGTTGCACTAACATGGAATGGAGACATCAGAAGCTCTTGCTTATTATGAAAGGGTTCCTTTGTTAAAGGCTTTTGGCTGTTGCATGGTCAGAAGTACACTAACCTTCAGAAGTATTACACAGTTCAACCTAAAGGGAGGTGGAGGCAGAGTCAGAAATGGCTAATGGTGATGATTGCTTGGAAATTGGACACTTCAGGGGAGAAATCTGATCATAATGGAGTAGGTGGCTGTGCATCTGAAGGTTAGACTGCAGTTTAGGTGACTAATTGAACACCTGTAGTTGCTAGCAGCTTGAAACCCCGCTGAAAAATGGATTTATGCTTGTTTTACACAAACCCTGAGTTTCTTCTCTCTCCCCCTTCCCTGCCTTTCTATCTTCTATTTAGGAATAACCTAAATTACTGGGGCATAATCATGTTTACGTTGTGTCTCTAAGGCTTGTGTGAAGTTGAAATTTTCTCCTGTAGCAGCACATCCATTATGGGTAGAAGCAGCTTTTTCAGCAAAGCACACACTTAAGATATTTAAATTGCTCTTCTGAGAACATTGTGTCTTCTCTTTCCTATAATGTCATTTGTATACTGTTAGAGATCAGCAGAATAAGGAGCTTACCATGACAAGTGGCATTTGCAGGAGATGCTGCCAGTCTGTGCTCAAGGTGTATGAGTGGTAGCTTATGTTGAGTTTGGGACTGATTTAGTATGTAGGAGGTGTCCTAAACAGCTTTTTGTAGGGATATGAACTTGTGAATACAGCTTGCCAATGATTGGAAAGAGGCAAAGATGTGAAACTGGATTAGCTTCTTTGCATGCTTGTAGCTGTCTTTGGAAGAGGGGAAAAAAGCTTTCTTGGGGACTTGAGCAGATCACCTTTCTACCTTGAGATGAGGTTCAGTGAGGCCTCAAATTCAGACAGCATAAACTGATAAATGTAATCTATATAGGGTAGATACCTGTGGTTTTATCAGGACACAGAGTGGCATAGCTTCTGTCCTGCTGTGTGTGATCCTGGTAGAATTGTCTGGTTTCACAAGGATGCTTTGGCAGAAGAGTTTCCGGAGCAGCTTTGCCTACAGTATGAGGCTCTGTGGCTTTGCTGTTTAGGTGCTGGCATTTAGCAAAGCCCATTTACTGCTGACGAATACTTCCAAGGGTTTGTAGTTGGAGTGGGATTGTGAAGTACGTAATTACTACATATGGAGTGGGTACTGGCATGATTTAATTATTTCACCAAAACTTTATTGCTAGTGGTGAGGTTACTTAAGGGATTAGTTGCATGTTAAATCATTAATAGCCTTTGCACAAGCTAGGGAGGAGGTATGCAGAAACTTCTTCCTCTTAGGAGAGAATTGGCTTATTTTTAGCCTTGCTATACTTTTAAGACTCATTTCCTTGTATAACTTCACAAATGATGAAGTGGTTGCTCTATCTGCATAATGTAATTTGAAAGCAGTTACAAAACTTGGGATAAAATAATTCTCAGTTCAGCTCTGCAAAAAACATACTTGGTGAGGCCCTGCTGGTAAGGAGAGCCAAAATTCAACCTTTCCCTTGGGAAGGTGTCCTTGTGCCATCTCACCTGCAGTTGCTTCAGTCAGACAGAGCTCTGAAGATCACCTTTCAAATGAAGTCTCAGGCTCTTGTATCCTGTACTGTTTTTATGGTGGTGGGCATGAGTTTAGAGAACATGCTTTCTGCACATGGGGAGCTTCAACTTCCAACTGCTTGGCAGTTTTCATTCCTTGGCTTTGCATTGGGGTTCCAGTAGTAAGAGCTCTGAGCTGCTGTGAGGTCTGTAACTTGAATTTTGGCTGTATGCTGTGCGTTAAGCAAATGAGCTTTGCTCCTATGTAACAACACTTGAAAGTTTGTCAGCTGTGAATGGTGTTCGTTGGGCTCAGAGGTGCTTGGGTGCAGTTGCCTGAGCTGTGAGGGGGAGGGCTGTGAACATGCATTTAGACAATAATCCTCAAGGCCATCACTATTGTTAGAGAACTGGCTGCAATTGCATGTTGCTGTAGTGACAAACTGGATGTGACCTCAGCACAGGTCTTCAAAATACAGTTTTGTGGTAGTTATAAAACATCCCCTCTTATTAGAAGTCAAAGAATAATCTAAGGATGGTAAATCTGGTCTGCAATGTAATTTTGGAGTATTGGATCGTGCTGATAAGCACTGAAGACTGAATTCTTGTAGTTGCCTAAACATGCTTTGGAAAGTAGAAGTTTGTTTTCTGCTGTGATCTTATGCCCCTACAGGCACCATTAACTCTGCTTGAGTTATGTTTGTAAGTCCACAGGGCTACAGCCTGAGGCAGGAGTGCTGGGGAAGGAGGAATGTCTTGTTTCATACTGGCTTCTAAAAAGTATTAGTCTCAGTCAGAACTCTGGGTTTTGAAGAAAAAATGTGGAATGTGATTCAAGGGAGAAAACGTGAGTAAGGCACAGGCGGTGTTTGTGGCAGGTAAAGCTATGAACAGCATGCTGGGACTGTTGCCTTCTGCATCAACAGAAAGGTGAGGTGCAGCAGTCTTCTAGTTTTTGTAGCAGGAAACTCAAATTGGAACCTATTTTACTTACAAGACCTTTTGAGCTGCAGCTTGCTAATGTCTACCATATTTTAGGTATGACAATGTGCTGGGCACTTCATAAACCAGTTGAAGTGTGATACTTTAATTCTGTAAAGCCTCAGTTAACAGATACTCTTTTTCTTTGGTCATCTTGTTAAATTAGAGGTTGAAAGAGGGGAATCAAATCAGGTTGTTGTTAAATAGTGCAAAGTTTTCTCCTGGGCCTAGCTCAGTAGCCTCAGCTGCTTATAGACATCTGCCAGTAGTATCAGTGTCCATTGGCAGTAAGGCCAGGATAAAACGTGGGGAAGGGGCTGATGAACGCAGGTGTCCCACAGTTGAAAGGACAAAAAAAAATACTGAACAGGAGATAGAGGATTGATTACTCTCTGCTTGAAAGAGCCAGCTAATTGTATTTCGGTTCCTGAACCGAATGGAAATGTCAGTTGCTGCATGATAATTTAAAGTCCTTCATAAGTGAGACATGGATTTTTCTGTTCAAGCTTTTACAGTTACACAGGTTGTGGTGCTGCACAAATCTGCTGTCCTGCTCCTTGTTGCAGTGTACACAAAATTGACACTTCTGCAGCATGTTCTGCAGAACTTGTACATGTGGCCCTCTGCTCACTTAATGCCTGTTACGTGTTAAGTGCTTAGCTTTATGCTGTATTTCTCTCTGGCTTTTAGCTGTCTCAACCAGCCAGATGCAGTAGATAGCAGAGCTGGAAAGATAAGTTTGCACTTTTCCTTCAGCACTTTACCTGTTGTCTTGGATGCCTGGTTTTGAGAAGCAGTCCTACACTCTGCCTGCAGTGCTGGCTTGACCCCTTTGCCTTGTCTGTCTTATTCAGATCATGGAGCTGAAATGGCTGCTGTATGTGACCCTGCTAGCTCTGGGGGCTCTTGCTGTCCAGGCACATGACATGGATGATGACAACGATGGTGAAGATGTAGTTGATATTGAGGATGACTTGGATGATGGCATTGAGGAGGCAGAAGAGTCAAAGCCTGAAACAAGCACTCCTCCCCCAACTCCAAAGGTTTGGCATGGGACTTTATAAAAGATGGAATTACTGCTTGTGTTGTGGTTAATGTGAGTCTGATCAGACTTTGCTACCATTTAGGAGGTTGTGATGTTATTAAAGATGTTATCTGGGAGTAGGGTTTGGAATTAAGCTTAGCTGCTTTGTTCCTATTCTCATGTCCCCTACATTCTTGCTGAAGACTTAGATCCACCCTTGGAATCTGTGGTGTGACTATCAGGAGTTGGTGCTAATGTTTCCAGCTAGATACAGACTTTAGTTCTAGTTGCAGACAAGAGCACAGTGGCTTGGCTCAAGAAGCAATATTTACGTAGCTTCTGTATTTATGCTGCAAGGGTGTTCCAGGTAAGCTCTATTTGAGTGTAAAGGGGGAATGTGAGCTCTGTATCTGTATTTCTTTAGAGAATGTGCTTTGAAAGGTGTGTAAATGCTCCTCTTCTCCAACAGGTTACCTACAGGCCCCCGGTCCCAACCGGGGAGGTGTATTTTGCGGAGTCCTTTGATAAAGGAACTCTGGATGGGTAAGTATTGTCTGAAGTATTCACTACAGCAAATAATTAAAAATGAAACCCTCTCTAGAGCCTGTATTACCCAAATTGAATCAAAGGGCTGTGGTTGGTGAGGATTACAGCAGTGACTAGATGAGGCTGGCTGTTACTGAGTTAAATTAGCGTTGCCTTAAGTTCTAGTAACAAGGGGGAGGTGAGCCATAACATATAATGTTTTAATCCTCATCTGACTTCTTGCTTTCCTCAGGTAATGTGAGGATGGTGAGGTACTACTGTTTTCTACAAGAGCAAAACTTATAGAGGCCATGATCCTGCTTTGAAGGGGGGCAGAGAGCAGCAAATGCAGAAAACTTTGCAGGCTTGGGGTTATAGCTCCTCAGGGGATCAAGACACTGGGGTGTTATCACAGGACAGCAAGGGTTGTCCTATCTTAAGGGCAGGATTTTTAGTGTGTGTGGGGAAAAGTATGGTTTTCCAACCACTGGATGTCTGTCTTCTAGATGGATCCTTTCCAGAGCCAAAAAGGATGATACAGATGATGAGATTGCCAAATATGATGGTGAGTTCAACTCAGGTTTTGGATAATAGATGGTTTCTGATGTCTTTTGTAATATCTGAAGAAGAGGTACAAGTCTGTTTTCTGTTTCTCACTTAAAATCGTATTCACTGAAGAACATAGGGGTGGGCTTTATACCTGGCTAACAATATCAAGTGTAGTTCTGAATTAGCCAAAATATCCACTTGGATGTTTAAAAATAACTTTTAGAGCAGATGTTATGCTGATAACTTGATAAGGTACCCTGGAGGGTATTATTGCAGAATGCTGATTATCTTGCTCAAAATTGGGCTAAACAAAGACTGTCTTGAACAAGTTTTGATAGCATTTGGTTAATTTCTCTTCAGGTAAATGGGAAGTCCAAGACATGAAGGACACTAAGCTTCCAGGAGACAAAGGGCTTGTGTTGGTAACCCGGGCCAAGCACCATGCAATTTCTTCCAAACTTGCAAAGCCTTTTGTATTTGATACCAAACCCCTTATTATACAGTAAGTAAAGGATCACTCTGTTGTTACTTCAAGGGTGACATGATAGCAGGCTGAGGTTAATTCCATAACTGAGCTTTTGTTGACTGGGGGTATAGATGACACAAGATGCTGCAACCTACTATTACACTCTTTAAGCAAGAGTAAAATAGTAACCCAGATTCCCAAAGTGGGAAGTTAGGAACAGGATGGTCCCTCTGAAGCCTGAAGTTAGGAACAGGAGGGTCCCTCTGAAGCCTGACTTGGTAACCTGTCTTGGGATTTGAGTTCCCTTGATTTAATTGTGGTAACAAGGTCAGGCAACTGACTTTTGTACTGCTAATTGTGGAAGTCCTTGTCCTTTGGAACAAAAGCTGATCTATATGTAGGTCGGTGCACTTCCTTATGCAATAAACTGCCCTCTTTCCAAGGTGGAGTGGGCAGAGTGGTCAAGGCACACTTGTTTCCTCCTTCCTTTGTCTTAATTTATCTGTCATGGGGGATGAACAGCTTCTCTAACTCTGTTTGGCCATGACTGATGTAGAAGAATCTGTTTGCAAGTGTGTTAGACTAGTGAGCTGGGGGCGGGAAATAGTTCAGTAAGAACAGTTGAATTGTGGATTATTAGCTACTTTAAACCAAGAGTGAGCTACTTCACATATGCACAAGATAAGGAATTGGTCACTCTGCTTTACTTGACTTTTTAGTTTTGGCTCAAAATACAAGACTAAAAATAAATCCCAGTGGTCATCTGCTCCAGCTGCTGGCACTGAGAGAGGATCAAACATGCTTAGCCTATTCTTGACAGGGATGTTTTGCCTTTTTCAGACTCCTTGGCATCCCTAGATATACTGTTGCATGCTTATAATGCTAAAGGGGCTGCTTCTAGGATCCAATTGATGTCGCTTTAGTAATCCTGCAAACAGAGTTGTCTGTCTTGCATAGTAGTTGTAGAGAAAATAATTGGCTTGCCCTATTCTCTGTTGCAGTGTTTTATGTACGGGAACCTTTTCTTCCTTCTCTGTGCTTCTAGATCATGATCTTCTAGACCAGTACTCAATTCCTTTAATCTTTTCTGTCCAGTTAAGTCTTCTGAATCCTCACTTTTCCTTGTTTCTCAGGCCCTTACTAATATTTGCTTAGTCCTTAGGGTGCAGTATTTTTAATATTCACTGTGCAATTTAAAGCAAGTAACAACAAAAATCTTAATTTGTAATTGGAGATTGTGTATTTCAAAAGCTGTTTTCCCTTACGTATAACACGTTCTCTGCTTCTCTGTCCAAAACTAAAATTAGGTATGAAGTAAACTTCCAAAATGGAATAGAGTGTGGTGGGGCCTATGTGAAATTGCTTTCAAAAACCCCTGAACTGAACCTGGTGAGTAATGCTGCTACTTTGAGTATTAGCTGTGAAAGCAAACTTTCTCATACTGCTGCTTCCTGAAGAAACCCCTTCAGTAAAGGCAGTGGGGCGTATTTAGGGCCTGATCACCAGAATACTTTGCACTCAGCATTTTCCCCACTGTTTTCAGTTGGAGAGGATAAATATTGAAATCTTCTGGCTTCTCGAGTGAAAAATCAGGAGTTCTCTAGTAGCTAAGCAATTGTAGACCTCTACTAAAGCCTGCAATCCTTCAGATTTCCCTAGGTTCTAGGACCAAAGAGTGTCTCATGAGAGTAGCCACTGCATGAGGAGAAACCTCCTCGGGAAGCTGTTGGCACAGAAGGAAGATCCCATGGTTTATCATCTAAAACAGACTAATGCAAATAGCTAAAAATACACCTTGCATTGGTTGTCTTTTGACTTATGAACCCACTTGTGAGTTACTGGGTATATCTAGAAATGGTCTGAAGAGGTTGGTCTGGATGCACTGTTACATGCTCAGCTATACCCATGAGCTATACAGAACCATTTGCTTCATAAATGACCCTTGAATACATTGTCTTAGAAGTGTGGTCAATGGAAGAGACCATGTTACATCTCCTAAGAATTAAGAATCATTATCTCTCCCCTCAATCATATACCCACCTGAAGTGGTTTAGCCTATTCAGACAAAGCTTAACTGCTTTGCAGAAGCTTTCATAGCCTGTGGGTTTTCTTTAACCATCTTCCTAGACTTTATAGGAAGTACCTTTTTATGACTTGTTACCCATCCTTTTCCTTTCCTCCTCCAGCCTCATCGGAGGTGTATTAATACAGATTCCAAAGTGTCCTTTTAAAAAAGGACACCCAAAAGACTATTTGTTCGTGTAACCAGTTTCTTACGTGCATTGAATTTTAAGATACCATTAGCAAGAACAAATAACTTGCTTGCAGTGGTCAGTGGTGAGATTATATCCAGTTAGCTTTCAGATTGAGGCAGTACACCAGCTTGTAAGTGTAAACAGAATAAAAATTGGCCTCACTTCCAGTGCTTCTTATCACTGTGAAAGAAACTCTCTGGACTAACTACTCATTCGTTATTACCACTAAATGATATTTCTGTATTGATGGCTTTTAAAATCCTTTATGATAATGTGGAGATATACTTAGAATATTGGTTGTTACACTTATCTTTTTGATAGCACTTGGATAGCTGCCTTTTTCATTGTGAGCAGTAGAGACCAAAGGTGCAAAATCAAGTATCTGGGATAATTCTGGTGTTTTTTCTAGAGGCTTGTATTCTTCATACAAGCTTTAGTGTGGCTACTTCGGTGCTTGATAGCCAAGCTGCAGAATAATCCCTAATGAATTGGGAGTTCTTACGCCAGGCAGTGACTTAAGCTCTATTTCAGAATGCTGGAATGAAGTCTTGCATTGTTTTTTAAAGGATCAGTTCCATGACAAAACTCCATACACAATCATGTTTGGCCCTGACAAATGTGGAGAGGACTATAAATTGCACTTCATCTTCCGGCACAAAAACCCAAAGACCGGCAGGTATGAGGAGAAGCACGCGAAGCGTCCAGATGCAGACCTGAAGACTTTCTTTACTGATAAGAAGACCCATCTTTACACTCTAGGTATGATGACTGCTCATTATGCATATGAATAACTACTACTGTGTTTCCTGAATCAAAAGCTCATAAAAATGAGCCAGATGAACAGCTGAGTATTTGTGTTGAGACACCATACAGCTAAAGACCACTTGAAAGCTCTGAATGCAAAACCTGGTCTTGTTTTACAGAGGCTTATTTCTTCTTTGCGAAAAGTCTTGACTCATGTAAGGATAGTCATGAGACCTTGAACTTAGTAGTAAAAGAACAGTTGTAACTTGATCTGCTAAGTATATCCAAAGTTACTCTCAACATTTATGAAACTGCTTGAGTGCTGCCTCCTAGTAATTTGGAACATGCTAGGCTTTAGATTTACAGGGATGATTTATGCTTTTTATTTTTTCTTGCTGCTTTCATGGTACCAGACAAACCCAGTGGGTTTTGAAGTACAGTGTCTGGTATATTAGTTACAACTTTCAGGGAATACTCAGGAGGATCTCTCTAGCTTCTACTACAGAGGCAGCAATGGATAAAGAGGAGCAAGATGAAAATCCTGTGAGTCAGGAGTAAGGAGACTTACTCTTGAGTAGAATGTGAATATATACATTCTTGCTACTAAGAGAATACTTAACAGTGTCAAAGTCAACTTGCTGTGGTAACTGGTAGATCGCTTGAAGCTTCTTTGTGTTTTTAGCATGTTTAACGTAGGACTCCTGCAACAAGTCCTCTCTCACAGGCTGAGATGTGGTACATCATCACTAGTTACAGTTTGGCATAAGGAGAAAGGTTCTTATGAAACAGTTGCTGGGTAGGTGGTAGCTTGGTTTGTGAAGCTTTAGTTGTACAGTGGGGATGAGCGATGCTGTATGATGCATGCTTTGTATCATATATGTAATGGCTACATCAATGTTTTTCCTTCCAGTCCTGAATCCTGATAATAGTTTTGAAATCCTGGTTGATCAAACGGTTGTCAACAGTGGGAATTTGCTAAATGATATGTCTCCTCCTGTGAATCCACCCCGGGAGATCGAAGACCCAAATGACCAGAAGCCTGAGGACTGGGATGAAAGACCAAAAATCCCAGACCCAGATGCTGTTAAACCAGATGACTGGTAAGCTGTTGGAGGGGTGGAATTGAAGGATGCCTTAGCTTGATAATTCAGTCCTGATCAAAAAGTCTTTCTCAGATGGCCTTACAGAAGGCTTTGAATCTCGCCCTTGTAATCAAACCACAGTCAGTTTAGGCATTTGAGGAGCAGTTGCTAGGAAAAAGCAGACAGAGTCCATGTCCTCTGGAAATTGCTGTTTAGTGCTCCTGTTGCTGTGCTGGCTACAGATGAAAGTTTTGCTGAAAGAGCTGTGCTAGCTGATGCTTTCATCCTTGGTGAGATCAAAAGGTGAGCTGCAGAAGGTATAACTGTAAGATGTTTGTGGTTGTTTCTGCAATACATAGTTCCAAGCGACTGAAATACCAGCTGACATCCTAAATCAGAAACTGACGCTGGGTTTCTGTCTTTGAACCTTGCTTTGTGAACCATACACTCGATTTCAAGCTCAAATGTATGTTTGCAGCAACCACCAAGATACAGGATTTGCTGTAAATCCTTTCTAGGTTGGTTTTAAAAAGCCAGTATTACCTTACAGTTGGTGCTATGACTGTGCCATGAGGCACATGTCTGGGTTAACAGGTTGTGATGCAATTCTGGTCTGAAATCATGGCATTACCCTTAACCTACCTACAGTGAAGCTGGCTGGTTGTCCAGATCAGTGGGCTTGTTCAAAGTCTGTAGAATTATGCCTTGGGGTTAAGAACTTCTATGTCTTGCATGTGGTAATATATAATCTGTTTTCAAGGGATGAGGATGCTCCTGCAAAGATCGCAGATGAAAACGCTGTGAAGCCAGAGGGCTGGCTGGATGATGAGCCAGAATATGTAGCAGACCCTGATGCTGAGAAGCCTGAAGACTGGTATGTTTACTGCCTCTTGCAAATGACAGCAAGTATTTCATGGCTTTGGTGCTGGCTTTTAGCTAGTTCACTGTTGCTTGCTGACAGTTACTGATTCATGCTGTCTTGCTGCAGAAGGTAGAGTTGGTCTGGGGATTCTTGTGACCTTGTGTTCCCCTGTGCACTTGTTAACTCTTTTGTGATATAAGCTGAAAAGGCAGGGAGGGTCACCTTGCAGGTGTACTGTACTTGGAATGAGCAGCAAGGGAGCCTGTGCTCAGGGACTGAGCTTTTGTTGAGCTTCTGTGCTTTCCAAGCTGTTTGTTGAAATCCTCCTTAAATCCTCCTTCCTTCTGTGGTGCCTTCATCTACAGTCCTATGCTGTGTCTAAATCTTACTCTATGTAAAGGGAAAAGGTGGATTTCAAAACCAAATTTCCTTTTTCAGGGATGAGGACATGGATGGTGAATGGGAGGCACCTCAGATTGCAAATCCTAAATGTGAGGCAGCACCTGGCTGTGGTACCTGGCAGCGACCAATGATTGACAATCCAAACTACAAAGGCAAATGGAAGCCTCCTATGATTGATAATGTGAACTATCAGGTTGGTGTGTTCATTGCTTAAACTGCTGGCCAATGTATTTTTCTTAGAGAAAAACAGAAGGAATTAGATTCAGCAGGTGTAATTCAAATACAAATCTGTAGTGATTGTACTGTTTCAAGTGGAGAGATTTAAAGTGTTTTTTGGGCTTCACTTTATTTGTAGCACAAATGAGAATTGATTTTCAAACCCTGACAAGTTGCGGGTAGACATTGTAATTAAGTGCAATGGATTGGTCTTTCACTCTGTTCAAAGTGGACTGAAAACTAAAAATTGCATTACAGTAGGTGAGGCTGAATGTCTTTTGTCTTTCCTAGGGCATTTGGAAACCTAGGAAGATCCCAAACCCAGATTTCTTTGAAGACTTAGAACCTTTCAAGATGACTCCTTTCAGTGCTGTGGGACTTGAGCTGTGGTCAATGACTTCTGACATCTTTTTTGACAACTTTATCATCTGTACTGAAAGAGCTGTGGCTGATGATTGGGCCAGTGATGGATGGGGACTGAAAAAGGCAGCTGATGGTGCTGCAGAGGTGAGAAATAAAGGTTTAGTTTGTATGCTTCTGACTTGGACAGTAGGAGCATTGTTGCTTTTCCTTCCATGGTCTTTATCAACATACCCCTATATGTACCAAGGATAGGGGTTAGGCTAAACCAGATTGGAACCTCCATTCCTAACAATATTACAGTAATGGTTGCTATGAGTAGCAATTAGTTACTCGCTGCTCTGTTGTGAGATTTTTGCTCTGACAATTGGACTATTGGCTTTAGCCTAATTCTTAATTCATAAACTATGGGGAGAAAATACTTCTGCAAGTTAAATTTAATTATTTGAAGTATGAAATATGTTTAAAGCTGCAAAAAGCTTAAACTTAACTTCTGTGACTTGCTGTATGGGATGAAATGTGACAGTTCTTCTTACTTTATAGCCTGGTGTTGTAGGCCAGATGATGGCAGCGGCTGAAGAGGGGCCCTGGCTTTGGGTGGTCTACATCCTCACTGTGGCTTTGCCAGTGTTCCTTGTTGTCCTTTTCTGCTGCTCTGGGAAGGTACGAATTTACTCTGATAATAAGTAGTATAATGTTCAAAAAGAGATTCAGCAAAACGTGCCTTTGCGTCACAAGTAATTGCCTGGTTTTGACAATGTTTTGTTTTTAGAAACAGCCAAGTGCTGCAGAATACAAAAAGACTGATGCTCCTCAGCCTGATGTGATGGATGAGGAGAAAGAGGAAGAAAAAGACAAAGGGGACAAGGAAGAGGAGGAAGAAGAGGAAGCAAATGAGGAGAAGCTAGGTAGGTGAACTAGGTAGTCTTGAAACAGTTTTGAGTGTTTTCTCTGATAAGATAGACCAGCAGGATTGGCAGACATGGAGTAAAGCCAACGGTGAATGAAGTCAGAAATGAGAATGAGGTGTTTTTTTTATTTCCCTTAGAAGAGAAGCAGAAAAGTGATGCTGATATAGGAAGTGCTAGTCAAGAGGAGGAGGAAGAAGAGGAGGAGGAAGAGGACAGGAAACCTGCATCAGAGGTAAGAGTGTTGTTTGATGTTTGAGGGAAGCTTGTGCATTTTTTTTTCCCTTAAGTCGTGTAGAACAAGCTTTACTGATGTGTTAAAAGTTAACTTGGCTCATGTGATACTCCCTCCTGGTGTCAGAACCCTGGAAAACTTAATCACCCTGCTGAATAGGAACTTCTGTGGCTAAATGCAGCAGAGCTAAAGGCACTGCCCCAGACCCTGCGTTGTGAGAGGAGTGGGACTCTGGAATGCATCCTCTTGAGGCAAAAGGCTTATTCAGCTTTGTGTGCAGCCAGGATGTGACTTCTTAAGTGCTTCACGCTGACATAATGGCTGACTTAAAAATGGGTGGAGTGTTGCTCAAAGTTAAAGGGATTTTCACAGCAGCAGAAGCTGCTGAGTACTCTCAGCAAATAGCCTGCGTCCACTATGAAAACAAGAGGATTTGTGTTTGCCGTGTATAGAAAGGAAGGATGTAACAGTGGTAGGGCCTTTCAAAAAAGAAATCCTAAAGTAGAAGTGAAAGTAGGTAATTCTTCTAGGTTAGCTCAAAACGGGTTTAAGGGTGTTCTCAGATTTTATTTCCTTGATGTTTACACAAATTACTCTCTTGCAGGAGGAGGAAACTGTGAATAGATCACCCAGAAACAGAAAGCCAAGAAAAGATTGAAAAAAAAAAAAAAAGTCCTAAGAACTTGATCTGTAATTTTTTTTTCTTTAATTTTTTTCTCCAAACATGGTTCTGGGAGAGGACCTTGGACACCTTACATTGAAACTTGGACAAACCTCAAGATTTCACCATCCACAGGTTCCAGTCACACTATCCAATGTAATGGAGTGTCTAGCAGTAAAACCTTTGCAATCATCTGTTTTAAAGAACATCATTCCTGTAGAAAAGAATGCATTTACTAGAACGGGCTGTGGATTTTGGAATGTAACATAACTAACCTTTTCAGTTTTGGTTTTAAATATTCTTTTCAGTTTTTAAGTAGATTGGTAGAACTTTTCCGGTCTCAGACTTTGGCTTAATTTAATATATTAATTAGTGAAAAAATAACAATGAATATTGAAAGTGCTAGGTGATACAAATGCAGTTTTATAACTAGGTTTTTTTACAAGTATGTAAATTCCTAAATGCACCAATGTCTTTATATCCCTTAAAATTTGATAATTGTTTCAAGAAAAGCTGTCAATGTATTTGACAACCCCTCTGCTGCCCTCAAAAGAAAACTGGGGTGGGGTGTATGGGGAAACCAGTAGTGAAACTAATCAATCAGCTTCATTCTTCTGGGGGCAGGGGAAAGAGGAAGGAGGGGTGGAAGGAAGGGGTTAGTCTCTAGAATATGCATACTGTGCATGGCTAAAGCCCTGTTAAGTGTTGACAAATGATCTAGGATTTGGAGTGGGTCATCTTAATGTGGCATTTAATCCTGCGGACCTTGCAGATAATGGATTTTGTTAGTTCTTGAACTCTCTGTGTAAAGCTAATGGGTTGTGGGGGTGGGGTTAGACTACTTCCCCCTTTCCCCTCTGTTCAGCCACTGATGCTTTCCTTTCTCTGTGACTATACAGCTTTTTCTGAGTGCAGCTTTGCCTCAGTTGCTGAAGTGCTTCATGTTCAGCTCATCGTCAAACTCTATTTTTATAGCTAGGCCTACTCCTTTCCAGGGTCCAAACACTGGATAGGACAGTGTCCCATATCCTCTCACTGTTATCACTGTATGTCTACTCCTGTAGGAATGGGGGAGGTAGTTGGGTAGACAAGTTGAACTGAGTATTTGTTAAGGAAAAAAGAAACTCAAAGAAGATGTCAGTATTGTAGGTGGGGAAGGAGCATGTGGGATATCTTAACCGGTATGTGAAACTGTTTAAGTCTCTTTTTATCTGCTCTTCATGTAACAAATGCATCCTAAATTATATTGTGAATGTTAGGGAGTTCCAATTCCAGCTGAATAAATTTTTTTAAAGCGTTGAGTCTACCATATTATACTGTTTCAAACACTTTCTTTTTGTGGAATGCAGGTGACCACAGGAGCATACCTCTGAGGGTGAAATCTATGTAACTTCATTACACTGTACCAAATATGTTGGCGTTTGGATGTCTATATAGATAAACTTCTGCCTTTTGTTTAGAGTGAAATTAAATGTCCTAAAACTACTCTTCTTGCACTGAATTTAAACACTCCAGTGTTGTTTGGTTATATCATAGGTCTGGTGTGGGGAATGATTCCCAGGGGTTGGGGAGGGAAGAGTGTTGCAGTTACCTTGCAAACAAGCTAACCAGTTACTAAAAGACTCTTGGTTTGGGGTTTTTTTGTAAACCACCTTTTGCTGCCTGTCCTTATGTTGTATCCCTTGGTTGTTGTGTTTGAAATATTAGTGCTCACCAATGCATAGCAGGATTTATTGATCTTTCTGCAGTGTGCAAATAAACTATTGTAAGCAAGATACTGGAAGTAATTTCAGACTTCTCTTGGGAGCTCTTGCATGTTCAGAATGCCTTTGCCTGTTTAACACCTGGTAAATACTGCTCCTTCTTGCAAAAATAGCTTATACTCTGACATGGAAGATGTCATAGCTTAAGCATTGCTACTAGCTTGTTCTCAGGACTGTATTTTTATCAAGGAGCAGCTGCTATTTATTGACTCTCAGTCCTTTGAGATGAAGTGTAATGTAAATGGTTTCAATTCAGCTAACATTTTGAGCACAACATGAAAATCTATTAATCTAATGTTTTTTTTAATCTTAATATGCAAATTGCCTTAAATTCCCAAACAATTCCATGTGCATACATGTTCTTTCAAAGCATCAAAAGTGAACTTAAGGTCTGCTATCAGCTTTTAAATAGTGTTATAGTCAAGCTAATTGTAAATCTACATTTGCTTCTGCTAAACCTCCTGAAAAGGTCTCTTTGTCTGCATGTTACAGCTTTTTTTGATACCATAGTGTATGCTTCTTAAATAATCACTGCAATAAATGAAGACTTTCCAAAATGGATAGACAACTCAAGTTACTTTTTATCCTGCTTTCTGACTTGGGTGGCTCAGTTTAACCTCAGCATCATCACTTAATTATTTGTAAAATGGAAAAAAAGGAGCTATCTGCTTATCCTGAGTACTTTTAAAGCATAGCTCTGAACCTCTTGTTGCTGGTTGTAACTGTGAACTAGGTTTGGAACTGTTGTGAGTACTTGGTGTATTTGGGCTTTTTGTGTCTGTGCACACTAGAGTGGCAGCTTCTGAGGACGCTCTGCTTCACCGGGCATGCGTGTGTGAAGGTGGGGGATGTCAGACTGAGAAGGTGAATCAGAACAGGGACTAGGAGCAGTGGAAATGCTGAAAACAGGGTTTTTTTCCTCCCAGAGTTGATAAAGATGCAGCTATAGCCAACAAACCCCCTCCGGCAGCTTGTGGGCTGTGATCCAGCCGTTCTCGGCTTGAGGCTGTGGCTTGTAGGATGCGTTGTCAATGTCTCTTTGTAAGATTGACTCCTGGGCTTGAGGGGAGATGGTTGCAAGTGCTAATTGCTAGCAGAGTGCGTCTTGTGGTGGTTGTCTCACTCCTTCCTCAACAACAGTGCTCAGCTTGGGCTGTGGTTACCTCTCCATCCTCAACTGTTCCCCAATTAATACCATGATGTCGGAAAGGGGATTTTGGGTAGATTGGTTTGGGTTTGGGGTTGGTTTTAGTGTTGCTGAACAAGGGCTGATCTTTCACTTCCAGGAATGACCTCTCCCTTTCAAAAAGGGGCAGCTTGGGGGAGGGGGAATACGTAAACGCTAACCAATAACGAAACTTAACTCGGTTTGGCTTTCTTTGTCCTACTACCGAGCCTACCCCCGTCCTCACCCTCGCTCCCGGCTGCCTCC